TAGACATGAGCTCCGGTTTTAAGCATCCTTTGTCTTTTTGGCATGTACAGAACTGGGAAATGTTTGGAGGATATTAGAATAGTAGTATCCTGTTTACATTTGCAGACGTTTCTACGGTTTCTCTCTGCCTCCTTACACTTTAACACTGTAGCCTGGATCTTGTCCTAAATCAGTCTTTCACAACCAGTTTACCCTCCACTTATGTTGGAGTCACTTTTATAATTCTCAGCCAGGCAAAGATGGAAATTCTAAGTGCTGAACATTGTGGAGGGAGTGATAGCCTGGAAAATTATGCTCTCAGTAATAAATATGGACAATATTATACATTTGTTTTTACAGTATATTTTAATCCCCCTCTTAATACTGAGATATGTAATTGTTCATAAATTACACATCTCAGTAAATGTAATATGTATTTGAGTTCATATATTAAACAACATAAATGGGAATTGGTTCAAATGAAAACGCGAAACAATTTTACAAACTTGCTGTAATCATACTGTAATAACAAAATCCCACTCAAGTAGACTGAATAGACAACGTAAAGCTTTATGCAATCTTACTGAGTAAGCAATAAATTGACATTACTTTTTAATAAGACGGGTCACTTTTTCCAGCAGAAATTACACTGCCAAACAGCTAGTATTCATCTTATTCTCTCTCACATTTGACAGTAGCATACTTTGGCGAATTAAACACCTGATATTGGGTCAGCAAAGATTGTGTTTTTTCTTAATTGCCTGACTTTTATGATAATCAAAAGCATAACAATATTTAGAAGCATGCAATGTCTGTAAACCCAGAGAAAAGCATCTGTTGTATAGTTTACACTCATACAACATACACATACAAATAAACGTCCCAGCAATAAAATATCCCAAGCTTCTGCTTCATAACAAGCCTCTCTCAACATCTGCAGATTTACTTCCAGCCTGGCTTGATTAGCTTGGATTGGAAGACTATGCAGACAATTCCCCCCCCCCCAATTGAAATGTCTATTTGTTTATATCCTATTGCTTACTTATTTACTTACTTGCAGCACTTACTTACTTAGAGATAACTTAAGGCAGCAAACATACCTAATATTCCTTCCTCCTTCTATTTTCCCCACAAGAACTTAAGTGAGGAGGGGTTTGGGCTGAGTGAGGGTGAACCTAGCCAGCTTTTATGCTTTTCAGGTGGGATTAGAATGTGAAAGTCTCCTGTTTTCTGGCCCAGTTCCTGAACCACAAGACTCAACTGGGGTGGGGTTTTTTTTGGTTCTACTCTTACATTTCGCCGTCATATTATATTTCCTTCTTATATATTGCAAGTAGTATTTTCTTTTTTTCTCTTTGTTAAAGAAGACCACTTTTTTTTCCCCCAGAAGCTATTTTTATGCCTTGTCTTAATGTACTTGATCGCTATGGATACCACATTAAAGGCATCAAAATGATGTAGAGAATCAGAGGAATTGTGATCAATTCTTGCCTTTGTCCCTTGGGAAGTGGGTGAGTGAATTAGATCTCACATCTAGAGAGCTTTGAAAAATCTCCTCCTCTGGAGGAGCAACATAAGTTATTGGACATGGAACCGCTGTGCATTTGCTCCCTCTTTCTTCCCATACACACATACAAGCCATATTCATACAGGAACACAGATAGTTACGCTGTCCCTCCTACGCAAGAGACCCCGTGTTGTTCTCCATTCCTTAATTCCCCCTTACTGCCATGAATGGTTGCAAATACAGGTAGTCCTTGACTTACAACAGTTCATTTAATGACTGCTGGAAGTTACAATGGGATTGAGAAAAAAGTTACTTATGACTGTTTTTCCACACTTATTACCGCTGCAGCATCCCTGCGGGTCGTGTGATCAGAATTCAGATGCTTGGAAAATGGTTCACATTTATGACGGTTGCAGTATCCTGGGATCACGTGATCACCTCCTGTGACCTTCCGACAAGCAAAGTCAATGGGGAAGCCAGGTTCACTTAACAACCATGTCACTAACTTAACCATTTCAGTGACTCACTTAACCACTATGGCAAGAAAAGTAATAAAGTGTGGCGAAATTCACTTAACTAATGTTTCAGTTAACAACAGAAATGTTGGGCTCAACTGTGGCCATAAATTGAGGACTACCTGTATACTGGGTGTTGCTGGGTGCGTGTCATAAAGGAAGCTGGAAGATTAATAT